AATTATTAAATCAGTACCATAAAACCTCATGGCGTCGCAGAAAAGCTACTCAGATCGCGGCAGGAAGTCGCTTTGCGTACTCAGACAGGGTGGTACCGTTGAAGTTCAAGAAGGTAAGGGGAAAAGTGGACACGGTATTTCACTCAACCAAAAATCCTACCTAGCATACCTTGACCAATGTCGAATACGGAGAAACATAATGCACTTGAGAAGAGTAAAATAGGATAATGCTCACCAGAAGGAAGTGGAGACGGAAGGGACCAACAATGCGCGGTGGATGTTCATGAACCACTGTCAGAAACACAGATGATGTGTGTCGTGCAGGACGCTCGCAATCAAGCCCTCGAAGTGGCAAGATGTGCCATCAATAATCAAAGATTCAAAGATTTATGCTTTTCTGGCCCCATAGGTTCGTGTGGTGGAGTAAAGAAACAGGGATACATACAATTCTTTGTGTAAAATGTCACGTGATACGTGCTTTTTCCACTGCTGCACGCAGCTTCACTTATGTTGGAATGTTAGGTGTGCAAATGTTTCATCGAGCCTCAGTTTGAAAGACTCAATGCTTGGAGCACAGACGACGTAGGATGGTAGAGAGTTCCAGATCTAACACACTCTAACTGCGAATGACTGACGCCGGCATTCCAAGCGGCATTTTGAGACTACTAGTTTAAATGGGTGTCCTCTAAGATGAACGCTGGGTGATAATTTCAAAAGCGGGCGACACGGATGGCTTGGGTTTTACATTATTTGGTATACCATAATCATATCTTCTCTGATGCGCTGGTAATGATTGGAATATAACTCCAGTGATTTCAATCTCGCTGCGTATGAATACCGATTCAACCCCCTGATCATTTTTGTGGCCATCCCTTGTGGACGCTCCAGCATCTTGCAATCACGCTGTAGCCATGGATTCCAGGCCTGGATAGCGTATTCTGTGAGTGGTCGAATGAAGGCTGATAGTAGGCGGGGGAATAAAGCTGACTCAAACCGGCCGAAGACCCGCTTAACCACCCCTACATTCTTTACAGCTGCGTTGGACACCTTGGTGCAGTTGTGTGAGCAGCATAAGGTTTCTTGAATGATGATACCCAGGTCCTTCTCACTTGTGGCCTGTGGCAGTTGTTCATTTCCAAGGAAATATGAAAATCTCTCCCCGTGCCGCAGAGATAAAACCTTGCATTTTGGCACATTGAATTCTATATCGTTCATAAGGGACCACAGATGAGCTGCATTTAACGTTTCTTGGAGCGCCAGTGAGCCCGTTGGTTGCGTTAATGTATGCCAAATTTTGGCGTTATCTGCGAACAGTAATGATTTTTGCCCCAGAGCCTTCGGTAGATCGTTTATGAACGTTAG